GAGACCAAGGCTCGCGGGCGAGGGGCATCGGGGCATAAAGGGGCTCGCCCACTCCGGCGACACGGGCTCCGGTCCCGAAGGGAGCGTCCCCCACCGCGGGAAAGACGAGGAAACTGGAATTAGCATGAGCCAATCGGGGCGCCGAGTTGTTACTAGGCGGACCGGGCAGATCTCGACGAGGAACTTCGTTGATTTCCAGGCTCAGGGACAGGCGCAAAAGTGCAAGCCTCACCGGCGAGCGAAAACTGCCGTCCAGGAACCCGCGGGGGAGGCGCTGGAATTTGGGGCACGGCCGGGAGCGCCAGCAGCCCAGCCCCCTACACGGGGCACTCTGCTAGGCGAGCTCTGAAACCCGCGAAGGGTCCACCAGCTCCTGGTCCCTGAAGGCCATTACATCAAGAAGTGCAGAGGAAGCACTTTGATTTTGATTTTTTTAAGGAGAAAAACCAACTTAAAAAAACTTTTCTGTAGCAATTTAATTTTGCACTGTCTTTTTAAAACCCACCGCGAAGCAGGAACTACGAATTCTGGGCTCATTTAAAGTGCTCTGCGCTAATTTCTTGGTGACCATTTGGAGACAAAGGGCAAGTGACCCAGTCGGAAGGGAACCACGTTGGCTGGAAAGAAAACCCAAAATTAACTTAAATCACCTTCCTGCTTTCCTCCCTGCCCCCCCCCTCGGTAGCCAAGGCCCGGAGGAGGGTCGCCGGGAGAGGGCGAATTCCGCCGCAGGCGCGTGTTTGCCACCGTCCCTGGCTGTGGGAACCTTCATTCAAGCGGGGGAAGGGAGAGCGCTCATTCAGGAACCCGCGCGGCCCAGACCCCAGGACGTTACGCGGCTGCGCGCCGCCGGGATGGGGGCTTTGGGGAGGGTGTCCGCCCAGCGCAGAGCTTCCGCCGGGATAGAGCTCCCGCCCCCGCCCCTGGGGAGAGGCCGGGAGGTGAGCGGGCGCACCCGGGTGGGGTCACCTGGAGCCGCATACCTGGCGGCAACTTGAAAGGCCTTGGCTCCTGCCCTGCGAGTTTGCCATTGTTAAGCCCTTAAGTCTCCCAGGAAGACGCTTCCGAATGCCTGCCCAGGTTCCGGGGGCGCTGGGGCTCCCCTTCCCCCACATGTCTACTTTGGGGGCGCGCAGGGCGGCCCACGTGTTGTGGCAGCTCCTCCGGGACTGGGAGGCGCTGCTCCTGGGTGCCCCAAAGCCGTGGGCGGGCGGGGGCCAACTCCAGACTGGATGCCCACCCGGGACAGCCACGTGGGAACCCTGGGGACTGCATCCCCGCCGCCCTCTGGCGCAGACTCGCATTTCCGCCTCTGATCAGTTAATTTGAGCCGCACACAGACTACCCTGTCCCCAGCGCCCCGGCGCGGCCCGGCAGGCTGCGGGGAGACACCCCTCCCCCGGCTGCGGGCCGCGGCGTGTGCGCGGTACAAGGCAAGCCCCTCGGGCAAGGTGGGCTCGGCTCTAGTGGCAGCTGGGATCCCCGTTGGG